ATGAGCCCCCTGCTCCTCCGCCTGCTGCTCGCCGCGCTCCTGCAGCTGGCCCCCGACCAGGTACGTGCGTCCGCGACAACCCGCCCGCCCGCCAGCCGTGCCCTCTCTCAAGGTTGGCGGAAGTGGGGAGGCGCGGAGCGGCCGGGTTCTCGGGGATCCGCGGGGTCGGGCCTCGGACGGGGGCGTCTCGGGAGCCCGGCCTGGGCATCCCCCGGGAGGCGTCCCTCCCAGCCCGCCCGCCTGCCCAACTCCGGGGCCACTCCCCCGCCCCACCCCGTCCCCAGGGCGCAGCCGGGGGCGGGGCCGCCTCGGTGCCTGCAGGACGCGGTTCGGCGCTCACTGTGCCCCCTCTTAATCTGCGGCCTCGAGAACAAGCCCAGTCCCCAGGCTTGGAGGTTCGACGCTGCCGGCAGAGAGCGTGCCTGGGGGGTTGTAGCCAGGGCAGGTCCCAGGTCCCAGGTGGCCTGGAGAGGACAGGTAAAGCTAGAGTGGCCCCAGGAACAGAGTAGTCTGGAAATAAGCCTCCTGACTGCAAGGGCAGAGCCCTGGGGCCAGCAACAGGGCTAGCCCTTCCTGGAGTGCACCTTGGGTCCAGGTTTCTTCTCTCCTGCAGGGCCCGGTCTCCCAGCCTGATGCCCCTGGCCATCAGAAGAAAGGTAATAGTAGCAATAGGAACTTTCTACTAGCCAGCACTAAGAATCTTTTCTTCCAGTCCTGATTCCAGACTTTGTGTATTCCTCATCTTGTGTAATCACACTCCTCTGTAAGATGCAAACTCTTATTCTGCCCATTTCACAGAAGAGGAGATTGAGGCAGGGGGGTTCCTGGGTTCTGGATGAATAGGGCAGGTAAGACAGGTTGGGAGGGCAGAAGTGGGGGCTAGTGGAGGGTGGCTGTGACACGGGAACTAAGGAAAACAGCTTCTGGGCACAGGGGTAGGGGAACCAGGGAGCAGCTGCAGGAAACCCAGTGGGGACTTAACCCTTACGCATCTGCCCCCAGTGGTGTCATGGATAGACGTGTATGCTCGTGCCACCTGCCAGCCGCGGGAGGTGGTGGTGCCCCTGACCATGGAGCTCATGGGCACTGTGGCCAAGCAACTGGTGCCCAGCTGCGTGACGGTGCAGCGCTGTGGCGGCTGCTGCCCTGACGATGGCCTGGAGTGTGTGCCCACTGGGCAGCACCAAGTCCGAATGCAGGTATGGGGCAGGTGGAGTGTGCCTGGCTGGATGCTAACGTTCTGGGGACTGAGAGGGTGGCAACCAGAGCCCTGGCTGGTGGGCAAGGTATTCTCATTTCTCCAGCCCATGGAGCGTCCCCTTCCTCTCTCTCTGATGGTCTCTCTCCCTGTTCTCCTGAGCACAGATCCTCATGATCCGGTACCCAAGCAGTCAGCTGGGGGAGATGTCCCTGGAAGAACACAGCCAGTGTGAATGCAGGTGCCAGCCAGGCCCCACTCCTGAGTTCACAGAGACAAGGCTTGGGGGGTGCTGGGTGTGGTGGTACACCACAGCGGGGACCGGGTTTCCAAGAGTATAGCCGGGTAGGCCTGGGATCTAGGGCAAGAGAGTAGGATGCTTGGCTTCCTGATCCTCTTTTTCCTTGTCTCTGTCTGTTTCTCTTACTTTTCAGACCAAAAAAACGAGAGAGTGCTGTGAAGCTGGACAGGTGAGTCTTGGGCTCTTGCTGAGGTGGGGTTGGAGCCCAGGCCCAGCACCCAGAATGTAATTTGTGGGTGGGGCAGGGGGTGTAAGAGTGTGTCAGGAAGTTGTGGTCCCCCGCCTTCTCCTCCCAATCGTGTCCCCCTCTCCCCTTTTCCTCTGCTCCCCAAGACTATATGCTCTTCCCCAACCCCAGCTCCCGGGAAGACTCTTACTTCTCACCCGAGACATGTTGCTTCTCCTCCTAGGGCTTCCACTCCCCACCACCGTCCCCAGCCCCGCTCTGTTCCGGGCTGGGACCCTGCCCCCGGAGCACCCTCCCCAGCTGACATCACCCATCCCACTCCAGCCCCAGGCCCCTCTGCCCACGCTGCCCCCAGCGCCGCCAGCGCCCTGACCCCCGGACCTGCCACTGCCGCTGCCGACGCCGCAGCTTCCTCCGTTGTCAAGGGCGGGGCTTAGAGCTCAACCCAGACACCTGCAGGTGAGGAGTCGGGTGTGGCGTCAAGGCGCCATCCTGGAGCAGGTCCCAGTGAGCCCGCTGGTGGGAGAAGAGGCAGGGAAGGGGAAGCTTTGAGTGTGCTGAACTATTGACCGGGCGCCTGCTGGCACTGGGGTCAGCATAAACAAGGCTCACATTCTGATGCGGAGTCAGACACGAGGGCACGTGATGCCAACACAGGAAGTCAAGTCAAGAACTGTGGTGAGGGGCACCTGACGTCGTCTTTGAGAGGTTAGAGATGTCCTGGAAGAGGTGACATCGCCAGGTTTAGAAAAGAGAAAGACAGCCTTCCAGTTTGCAAGGCTCTGAGCCTTCCCAGAAACCCCTGTGGTAGAGTTTGTTCCCCCTTATGTGCTCCAAGAGGCCAGGGGATGTGGTGGAACGCTGGTCCACCCTTGTCCAAGTTGCTTCTCACCACCCCTCCTTTCCACAGCGGGGCCATGGGGTGGCGTCCTGTGGACCAGGCCAGCTGGGGCTTCCCAGGAGTGTTAGGGGAGAATGAGGTTCACAGAAGGTAAGAAGGGGGTGAGTCTAGAGGAGCACGGGCTGAGCTGTGCCAGCATGAACAGACCCCTTCTTCCCTTCTCAGGTGCCGGAAGCTGCGAAGGTGATACATTGCTTTTCAGACTCGGTGGGGCCACTTGCCTCGCAGGCCTGCCCAGAGGGCAACAAGAGGGCATCCTGGTGAGAACAGTCCAGTCCCCAAGACCTCAACCTAGGCGGAAGCTCCTCCAGGACCTGGGCCTCTCAGAGGGCTTTCCAACTGCCCCTTGTCTCTCTGAGGCTGCCGTCCAACAACGTGGACAAAATTGGATGAAGAGACCTGGAGGCAGCACAAGGGGTCATGTACCATCTTGGGAGAGAATGGGGTCCCGGCTCAGTTTTTAACTACCTTGTGCAAGTGACCATCTTACAACTGGCTCCTCCGTCCCCTCACTAAGAAGACCCTGGTCCTCTACAAAAAAATGAGAGTTGGGCTTCAGTACAAGAACTGTGAACCCCAGTCCCGATAAAAGAGATAGAAGGAACTGTCCCTGCCTGTGTCACTGTTTGTCACTGTCCGGGCTGGCTGGTTTGGACATGAATGTCTGTGTCACACTTCCTCCTAGACATGGAGCTTAGAGGAGATGAAGCCCAAGGCCCCACAACAGGTCACAGAGCCAGAATCGTGCATCCTTCACGTTCATGTTGTGCTAGCAGGCCCTGGGGAGTCCCTGCCCCTCTGCTCATTACACGGGTTCCTTTCTGGAAGGAGAGGGCCAGTGAGCTTGAGGTGGGACCCAGATCTGCTGAATGACCTTGGTTGTCACTGCCTCTCTCTTTCTGAGGCTCAGTTCCCACATGTGCACACGGAGGGAACAGATGATTACTGTGGTCTGGGCCCAAGAAAGAGAGTCACGTAATAGGAAAGAACACCCATCTTCCCTACCGGGTTACACTCTGTGTTTGCAGCTTTTTGCTCCCGGTAGCTTAACTCGAAGGTCACGCACCTGCTCTGCCCTCACCACACTCCCACATCCCTGAAAGGGAGGCAGCACCAAAGGTCTGTGGTCGGTGGGCCCCACTCACCCCAGCCACACAGTCTTCTCCCCTCTCGCCTCCCTTGCACCTTGGGCTCCTCTCCTCAGTCGCTGCTTGGGACTCTCCTGACCTTTATCTGACCCAGCCCAAGCTCAGTGGCCAGCTTTCGGCCTGTAGCCTTCAGTGCCCCTGGGTCTGAGTGTTGAGGAGGTGAACTGAAGGGCAACCTTGGGCACCAGTGCTTTGCCCCATCGAGACAGAACATTCATGGCAGAGGTTAAGCCAAAGCAGCTACCCTAATGGAGGCCTTCTCTGAAGTGTTAGATTAGAGGGTGGGGTAGTGATCTTGTTGGGCCCAAACCAAGAGTGGGGTTAAACCGGGAGAGACAATTCCTGACAGTGATTGCTACTTTCAAATCATTTTCTCAGCTATTCTGTCACCCAAAATACCAGAGCACAGTTAGAGTGAGACAGATGAGGGTTAGGGACAGTAGCTACCACCTCCCAAGGCCATTTAAGCCTGCCCAGCATGCACACTGATTCGAATGTACCTTCTCGCCTAGTCCTCAATTCTGAGTGTTGTAATTATCTTCCTTTTTCATAGGCTCGAAAACTCTGACTGACCTGGGGATTTGACCTCAGGTCGACTCTCTCCCTAACACTCAACTTAGGTTTAGCTGCCTCCCAACTGCAGGTTCATTACTTCAATGGACAGATGTTCACTCCTGGGTGCTGTGGTGCCTGGAAATAAGTCCGGTTGGGGAATGGACCCAGCCAGACCATTACAGTCATGATTCAGGGGTCATTGTGCAGCAGGTAGAGGCAGACCTGTACGCTGGGAGAGAAAAAAGGGAGAGAGCATTCGCCGTGGACCAGGGCCTGGCAGTGCACATCACTTGCAGCAATCCTACAGGGGCCCTGCGGGGTGGATGTTATCAAGCCCGAGTTACCAGGCCAAGGAACTTGCTCAAGGTCACACAGCCAGTCAATGAGTGGCAGACCCTGGATTCAAACCCAGGGCTCACTCTGAAGCCAGGCTCTTTCCACAGCAACTGAGGATTGTGAATCCTGAAGAGGCTCAGGGACAAACGGGAGAGGCTGGGGGCGACATAAAATGGCGTCTCAAGACCCCCGCCGCGAACCCGCGCCCACCTGACCTTAATGTCACCTCGACCGGAAGTGCCTTCGGCCCTTTCAGAAGTCACTTTCCCCTAACCTTACGGACTACAGAGCCACCGGACCTGACGCATAAGTCACATGGCGGCGCGGGGGGCGGAGCTAGAGAAGGCCGCCCAGGCGGGCGTGTGGCCGCGGGTTTCGCACGGTCCAATGAGGGCGGGCGGCGTGGCCGGGTCTGGTGGCAACGGTGACGCGCCTGCGCAGAGACGGCAGCACGACTGGGGTTGACTCCGGGGGCGCGGCGAGGAGGTGAGCGGGGGCCACAGCCCGGGCTGTGGGGAGCCGGGGTGCAAGGGGGCAGGCTGGATCAGGCGGGGCAGGAGCGGGCCGGGGCTCTGAGTGTCAAGAAGGGATAGGTTACGAGGAAATTGAGGGTTGGGGTCAGAGCTGTCTGGGGATGCCGCAGGGGGAGGGTTCTCACGCCTCTGAGTGTCAAGAGGGGATAGGTTACGAGGAAATTGAGGGTTGGGGTCAGAGCTGTCTGGGGATGCCGCAGGGGGAGGGTTCTCACGCCTCACGGGGCGGGGCTCCGGGAGTCGGGGCGGGACGTGGAACGGAGACGGGTGGGACCTCTGAGCTTGTGCCAGTGGAAGGCGGAGCTCCAGGGCTGGGGGCGGGGCTAGGACTGGTGAGGGACGAAGGCTGGCCCTTGGAGGAGGAGCTGGAGCAGGCGGAAGGAGGAGCCTCGGGTTTGGAGACCGAGGGGGAAGGAGCCCAGGCACTGGGGGCGCGGCCTCAGCCGGTGAGTGGCGCGGCTACAGTTCAGGAAAAGGGGTCTAGTCCTGTCGGGGGCGGGACTACAGGGCCGGGGGCGGAACCACGCCCTCTAAAGGGTGGGGCTAAGGAGCCCAGCGAAGGGGTAGGCCCAGGTAATGGCCCGGGGCGTCCACGCGGGGGCGGTCTCCGTGGTGGCCGTGCCTGGGGACGCGGTAGGCCGAGAACTCCCCCGGGAGAGGTGGTGTGGGTGGAGCGGGCTCGGCGGCCACCCGACACGGGGCCAGTCTGGGTGCCTCGCAGGCCCCCGAGGGCTCAGAGTTGGGGCGGCGCCTCGGGCGGAGGCACAGGACCAGCCTGGGGGGTACCCCCGGAGGACAGGGGCTCCCCGGAGCCACCCAGTGGCGATGTGTGGGTGCCTCGGGGCCGACCCCCTGCGGCAGCCGCAGAAGTGTGGGTTTGCTGGGCGGGAGGCAATTGGGTGTGGCGTGAATGGGGTCGCCCGGTTGGGGCAACTGCTGCGCAGCCAGATAGGGTTTGGACTTTGCGGAAAGGGACAGGGGGGAATTGAAGAGCAGAGCTGGGGACTGGGCGGGACGGAAGGGCAGGGGGTGAGCAAAGGGGCTGGACCCTGGCTGCTGTGGCCTCCCCTGACCCCCTCCCCCCGCTGCTGGGGTCCTCGGGCAAGCCCCCTTCTCACTGGACTGGTAAGTGTGGCCGCGGAGCCTGGGGGAGGGGGCGGTGACACGGGACAAGGGGATCCCCAGGGGCAGGCAAGGTACGGTGGGGTGGAATCCTCCTGGTACTTGCCCGTATTCCATGCCCTCCCGTTCCTCTCCCCCGGTTGGTTGGTCGGGGTCTGTCCCCGCAGAACCATGAGGCTGAGCTGGGTCCTGACAGTATTGTCCATCTGCCTGAGCGCCCTGGTCACGGCCGCCGGGGCCGAGGGCAAACGGAAGCTGCAGATTGGAGTCAAGAAACGGGTAGACCACTGTCCCATCAAATCACGCAAAGGGGACGTCCTGCACATGCACTACACGGTGGGTGAGGGAGTGGAGCTTTTGGGGGTGGGTGGGCCTTCCAGGGACCAGAAAGGACTTGGGAGCCAGGTGTGTCTGCCAAAAGGTGGGTGACCTTGGGCAAGTCTCCTCATCTACTTTGCATGATCCTATCTTGCTCTTCACTGTCTACTCCCAGTTGGCACCAGCAAGCAGCAGTGTACTGTGAGCTGCCCAAGGTTCTGTCCCTTTCTAGGACTATGGCCGCCAGTGCTGTGGGCTGCCACCTTGATGGGAAGAGCACCTGGGGATGGGGGTGTCAGAGCAGACCCTCGTCCTCACTGGCCTTCCCATGGTCTCACAGGGTAAGCTGGAAGATGGAACAGAGTTTGACAGCAGCCTGCCCCAGAACCAGCCCTTTGTCTTCTCCCTGGGCACGGGCCAGGTCATCAAGGGCTGGGACCAGGGACTGCTAGGGTGAGTCGAGGGGCCATGGCTGTGGTCCAGGAGGTGAACTGTGGGAGGCAAGCTCCAGGTATGGGGTGGGGGCAGGGAGCCTGGGTGCTGCCACATGCTGAACATGTGTTGTCCTACAGGATGTGTGAGGGGGAAAAGCGGAAGCTGGTGATCCCATCAGAGCTAGGTAAGAGGCCCTTCCTGAATGGGGATAGGGAGTTCAGGGTTATATCTATGTAAGAGTGAAGGCTGGTTCAGCCTCTGCACTGATCTCCACTCAATCCATTCAATACATGCCACTTCCAAGTCTAGTTGTGTCCAGCAGTGAGGACAGGGCAAGACCCTTGGGACGCTTGGCTCTGGTGCCCACTCTTTGCCCTCTACAAGACCTTTAGCAGCCCCCTCCCAAATCCGTTACACCTTCTCCATTTCTGGCCTTGTGCTGGGATGGGCAGAGGCTTGGTTTCAGCCTGGTTGTCTGCAGAACACCTCACTGCCTGGCCACTGCTCACTTTTTTTGTGCATCTTTGCAGGGTACGGAGAGCGGGGAGCTCCCCCAAAGATTCCAGGTAATAAACCTTCCTGCCCACCATCTCCTGCACCCATTCCATCTCCCTGTGGCCCTGGTTCTCATTCTGATCCCACTTCTCCCCTGCAGGCGGTGCAACCTTGGTGTTCGAGGTGGAGCTGCTCAAAATCGAGCGACGTTCAGAACTGTAGCCAAACTGGGGAGGGCTGGTGGAGAGGCCCCCATCTGGGACCAGACTGTTTAAAGAAAGAAAAAAAACTTTAAAGCCCATGAAGTGAGCCTGTGTTTGTTTGTGGGCCCTGGAGATTTAGAAACCACAGCTTTAGCCTTCCCTCTCCCTCATCCTCCCCCCATCCCTCCCTCTCCTTTCCCGGCTGCAGAGACTTGGGGTCTAGTAGGCTCAGTGGCATGGAGGTCACGATGGCCAAGCCCTGGGTGACTTGGTGGCCCTTGTCCAGAGGGGAAAAGGAGTATTCCTGCCTGCCAGCAGCAACAACGGCTCCTCCCCAACTCCCCAGCCGCTTCCAGATCCTGGTCTGGGAGCCAGCACTGGGGTATTGCCATGGCTTCATGGCCCTCAGGAAGGCCTGCAGTCACCTGGGGAGAAGCTGAGCTGGCAGCAGTTGTAGAG